GATATCTTGTTTTACCAAATGTATTTAAATCATATTAGTGTTTATTTTTTTTAACAACCACCATCTTTAAAAAATCTCATAGGCATTTATTTGACCAAGGCAACCTTAGAGTTATAAATCCACTAAATCTCACACAAATATATTCCCATCTGGTGATGTATTATCCACATCCACAGATCCCTGGTTATCAGACGTTCTGACGGAATACCATTGTAAGGTTATGAGTATATAATATAGCTTCTTACAGCATATATGTTAAAAATATTAAGAGAATCGAACTGTCTAACCACTATGCTCTATACCTGAAACTAATACAGAATAATACTGAATATACACTGTAATTGAAAAATAAATAATAATAATACAAGAAACTCGAACAAACCAATAATAAGAGAAATTAAGGTTATGAAAAAATTATGGGGGAGAAAAAAAGGCTCCTGGCTCCAATGGATTTACAACTAAATTATTTCAGATTTCAAGAGAGAAACAGCTTCTGTTAGATACACTGTTCCAGAGGTGAAATTCTGTTAGATACACTGTCCCAGAGATAAAATTTACCGTGTATTCTACAAAGCAAATATAAAGTCAACTTTTTCCTCCACTTATATGGCAGCAACTACTGAACTTGGCGGTGAAGAAGTCAGTCTTCCCAGCTCCCCTCCCTCCATTTTTGGCTGGCTTCATAGATGAGTACACCTCTCACAGGGTTTACTGGTATTCTTTATGGAGAAAGATACAGAGTATAACAAAAATAGCAAACAAATGAAAGGCAGTCCCAGGTCTGCAGCTGCTGCCTCAGGAGATGATATGTGGAACTCTAGACAAGCTTCTGCATCTCGTCTTCATTCCACAGCCATGGGGACTCACCAATTGCTCCCACTATTCTATCTGACCTGCTCTTAACAAAGGCCACGTGGAACCCTTATGCTTCCCAAACTCTTTCCAGCCTGCAGATACAGCCCATACAAAAAGTTAGATCCCCACTGCCTCAAAAGATCATTTGGAAGGCTGAGGCCACCCACACTGACTGACCCCCGTTCATCTGACCTTTGCGTTACCCAGACATGATACTCTCTGGCAACATTCTCACAACTTTCCACTATGACAGAAATAAAATCAGATCACCCTGTTTGTTTTTAAGAACTTCTTTGATACACAGCAAATCAAAGTCCTTTTCCTTATTCCAGGAGAGGGCATCTGCAACAACCTTTTTTTTTTAAGTTTCCTGAGCCGTTTCAGTGGAAATGGAATACATGTCTATTTCTATAAATTTAATAGAGTTCAGCTAAGTCTGATTTTCAAGGGTTCAGCTATCCCTGGACATCCCTTTACTCTCTCAGATAATTTCCATTCTTTTGCAGTAATACTTTAGGACACTCCCACGCTCCCTCCTCCATCAGCACAACTCCAATTTCATTTTTCTGTCTGGAGACTTAGTAGCTACCACAAACCTCCTGTGGGAATCAAGAATAAAAGTGCTACTTTCTCCAGACACACTAGTTTTTAACTGCCCAAAAGTTCCTTGTTTGTGAGTGGACAAATCATTTTAATGTACTTCTTATTAGCTGGCAAATCAGTGCTAAACTTTAGGGGTAGAAGCCTTTAGAGGCAACTGTTACAGATCCACCAGATCAGCCTCTAAATTTGTCTCTTCGAGAAATTGTCAAGAGTATTTAGAGTCTCTACTGTCTGTATTTCTTGGCACCTGTTTTACTAACATGTTCACCATCCTCATGCCAAACCTACTCCTCTCCAACCACAGCAGAAGGCACAGCTGCTAGTGTTTCTGGAAGTTCTCCATCTGCCAGTGCTTCCTTATACGCTTTGGAGGGCTTTGGAGGACCAGCAGCAGGCTTTCTAGTTGCTGGTTTGCACCACTGCCTTTCCTCACTGCAGAAAAACAGATTGGTACCTTCAGATGCTGGATGCCCCGGGTGGAGAAGTTCTTTCCCATTTTTCTTAGGTCTTTCCTCAATTACTCTTTATCCTAAATAATAGGTAACTAAACCCTCTGGCCTCAGTACTCCGCCAGTCTCCCATTCCTCAGTTAATTGCCAATAAAAATTACAACCCCACCGATGCCAGTGAAAATGTCGTGAACGAGGCATGCTCATTTTATGACTCCATACTGCTTCAGGAAGCATGAATGAAGAGCCTTGAACTCCTTGACTCAGTATTTTCAGCTCTGGAAAGCTATTCTGGAAAAATCATCCATGGTTAAACTATAATATACCCACTCAAAGCGGTCATTAAGTGCAGACTACATAGCAACATGAAAAACTGGCCTCAAAAAAAAGAAACACCATACAACTACAGCTGCTGTTACATCAGCATGGTGGGCCTTTGAAGCAGACATGACTTATACTTTGTGATTTCTTACACGGTGTGATTTTTGCAGTACTAGAAGAAAACAGGATCAGGCTCAATCTCCCCCTCCCCACAGGACCCAATAAAACTTTTGTCAAAGGACTGCACACATACAAAATACTTCCTACTAGAAACTTCTGGAGCCTTGAAACCCCAAGTCATCAAGCACCTATTTCCAGGCCCTATGTAGAGGGTTTCTCACTTATTTAACCCTCATAAAAACCCTGTGGGGAGGTATCATGGCCTTAGTTTTACACACGAAGAAACAGCTACTCGGGGAGATTAAGTCCCTACCCAAGGTCATGCGGGGTGTCAGAGCCAAGTGCCAAACATCTGGTCTTCTGACCGGTGGTTCATTGCTCTTCTCATGTTTTTCTAGATCCTTAAACCCACGCCACGTGTCCCAGTTAGCGCCATGCCCAGAAGCCAAGTTGCTAAGACGCGCTGGCGCCGCCGCCGTCCTTCCATCCCGAGGACGGTGCCCGCGCCTCCACCTCGGGTCCGGGTCCGACGTCCCCTCCGCCTTCCGAGGGCGAGCTGCACGTTACTGAAACGCTCGCACGGGATCCCGAGGCGCCCAACCGACGCTGGGCCTCGCAGGACCAGGGCTGTCACCGGGAGGCGGGGCCC